ACAGGATTTCAAAAAAAAGGTCAGACAGATGGAGACAGTGCAACTTAGACCAATAAGCTGACAATAGATAATATGTTAATGAGTATTCTTGATTTTCTGTAGACTAGGACATGCTTTAAATGTGGCTTTCAGATGTGACATAAACATTCATATTTTTCCATAAGAAAGTGCATGATATTAATATTTTTTACTGAATATGCAAATAAATATACTTTAGAATATGTGATAAGGAGAAATTAAAACCTTAAAAATGAAGTTAATAAGCTATGATGGTCAGTCAAAGATTTGTGAGTGGGTAGAGACACTTTCTATCTCTCAATGTTTGATGTCAGAGGATAGAGATGAAGTGGCTTACAACATACAATAACTTGGTACTTTTTTTATATTTTCCAGTTTCTAGCTTCCTGAAACTTCCCTCAGTTTCACAGGATGTACAATTTGGCAGTATAGATAAACAATAGTGTATAAATAAATATAAATATAAATATTTGTGCTGGTTTAAGAGTTAACCAGCAGGGGAAATGAACTCAACTCAAAGGAGAGATTATAAGTCAGAATAACAATTTACTAAAATAATACAGTAAGTGGTCTTAACCCACAAAACCCAAATGTATAACCCAGTACCCTGGGGCATGAACAAAGTGGTGTTCCTTGGGTCCCGCTTGAGTCCAAAGTAAAGGGAGAGGGGAAGAACCTGCTGGTGGGAGAGCTGTTGCAGTCTGGTCAAAAGTGGTGATTGCAGTGAGATGCTGGGGGAAGAGCTGTTGCAGTCTTTCTCTGGATCCCACAGAGTGGTTGAAAAATGTTCCAAGACTCCAAGATTATGTATCCTCCAGTTCAGGCAGAAATGCTCAGTGCTTCCCTCAGGGCGGGGAGTTCCACAAAGGGTGTGAGGACAGGAGCATCCTCCTATCTCACAGGCCTCTTAACACCTAGTTTATAGCCTGAGGAGTCAGGCTCTATGGGCAGAGGGTGCGAATAGTCTGTTGACAACAGTTTCTGGGAAATGGCATGGAAGGCTATAGAATACACAGTTTTGGGTTACACCCATACCAGGATGAACTGGTCTCAGTTGTCCTAACTAGGACAATATTTTATGCTAATATCTATAAAATGTAGTGTAGTTCTTAGTGCATAAGCACTTTTTTTGGCCTACAATTTAAAACACAGTTTTAGAAACAGGTTTTTAATGTATTTTTATATTTGACTGGTCTTCTTTTTTTTACGCCTGCATTGCATACTACAGTTATTCACAGGAAAAAAAGCCCCAAACCACAAATGGATTTGCATCTTCCAGTGTCTTTTACTGTGGAAATAATTTATCTATTAGTCCAGAAAAGCACTTAAAATTTGTAAAACCAAAACAATATTCAGAGTAATGAAATGGACTAAAAATATTGGGCAGGGACTTTTGAGATATGATACATTCTATAATTACTATGTAGAATAAAAAAAGCATACGTGCAAATCTGTATGATGCTCCTGACATTCCAGTAATTGCACCTATCCACACCACCTCAATATTTAATCTAAGATGGAACTTATCTTGGGGAAAAAGAATCTCTCTATATATATATCTTAAATAATTTAAAAAACACTGAATAAAACAAGCCCAGAACTCAAATCAAAATGTAAGGAAAGCAGTTTAAAATATCTCCTGATAGGTCCCAAACTGGTAGCAGAATATGTGGCCAGCATTTCTAAGCAAAGCATAAACTCATGACCACCTCACGATCATAGACCTGCTGGCAATAGATTTTCACTTTAGAATATCACCATTTTAGTCATTCACTTACAAATCTATACACATGAGATTGGTGGCAAGGACTTCTTTAAGTATATTTTCTTCACTGAAGTAAAAATGTGACAGCCACCATAATAAAAACAGAGACATAAAAAAAAATCCTCACATGGGTGAGATCCTAAGTTCCTGTACAGTACAATTGCTCTCAACAGACATATAAAAATGTTCTATACAGCACTCTGCTGAGTTCTGGTGTTGTGATACTGCTGTTGGAGGCTAATGAACAACCTCACGACACTTTTGGAACTGCAGTGATAAGCCCCTAAAAAAATACATTGTCTTAGAATTAGTGCATATTGTTTCCTTCCATGTCTTCCACTTGAGGAGTAGCCTGTGCCCAACACAAAGTGTGTCTTTTTTTGACCATCGAATGCTCTGTTCCTTTCCTAAAAGGATCATGGTAAGTCAGAAACCATTTGCAGACAGCTGGTGCTATACCAACTATTTTTTTGCAACAAATGGGGAACACAGGGTGTCTAATCTGAAGTCTGAGCTTCAGTCCATCACTATAAAAATCTAGTCATGCAACATTAGGTGAAGAACCTTTGGGTTTTTTTAATTTCACTGGGGAAATGATCTGAGTTAGAACTAATTTTCCTCTCATGCTATTTGATCTGGATCAGATGTCCAAGCTGTTCAGTACTCTAAGTACATGAGCAATTTTGCTGGTGCACAGGAATGAAAAGTGAGAGGATGAGAACAACGGACAAAGCAGAAAAATTAGGCAACTTCTTTTGATGGCAGCACCAGTCTGTCACCTTGGGTGTAACACAACCCCCTGGAGTGGAGTCACATTGGGAACTGTTTGTGTATGTGACAACCTGGTCTGAGAGGAAAGAGACTTTCAAAAATTCCAGACAAAATGATATATATATCCAGGGAAACCCTTGACTTGGGTTAATTAGCTTAGAGAAAACTGAAGAATTGCCCCATGTACTTTATTTTTACTAGATCCCCATTTTGTTCCTTCTTAACTTTCTTCTCCGTTCTTTCTCCTGCTTTGATTTAAAGACAATTTTACTGGTTTTTCCTTTCTGTATTCTTTTTTTAATTTTCTTTTCTTCTTTTAGAATTTCTGATAAAGAGCTATGATTGCAGATCATTGCAAGCGCATTCCAGTTTCAGTAACTTTTAGGGGGATGATGCAGCTCTGGTGAATAGTTGCTGGAAGACAGGTTTAAACGTAGAGTAACTCTCTTAAATCATCATCCCTGTAGAGTCAATTAAAGTTACTGGACAAGGAGCCCATGTGCCATCAGTAATGATTATGGCAGGCCATATATATGAAAAACACTTGATTTTTTTTCATAGAACACAACTGTTTGAAATCTGCTCCTGCATTCTGCAGCATAGAGGCAACTGTGCTACTTCAAAGTATAAGGACAGAAGGGCTCAGTAACAATATATTGTGTCACTGTCCAATTAAGAAAAGCAAAATAAAGTTCCTGAAATAGCTTTCAATTAACACTTACTGCATGGCATAGTATATCTACTTTCTTAAAGGGCCATTAATTGTTAATATACTGCAATTAGGCCTTAAGTATGTGATTAATATTCTATTAGATGCTTATTTAATGTTATTTGGCATTCATTACCAATGAATAGATATTTAATTGAAGGCTGCTTCCTCCTTAGTAGAATGGCTGATCTCCTTTTGCCCCTTCCATGATTACTTTCTGCTATTTGTTTTTCTTCAGAGCATTGCCTTTAAGGTTGTAGAATTATTCTTCTTCTTGTGGTTCACTTGGCTAAGCAGAAAATAACCAGTTTTTTATTCCATAATACCTATTCAGATAAGTGTGCTGGGATTATAGATGCATTGAAGCACACAAAAATTCAGCAAATTATATCTTAACCCCCAGTATACAGGGTTTGATGAAAGAAAGTAAAAATGTCATAGTGCTTTTTTTCCTGCTCCCTCCCCTTTTGTTCCCTTCCTCCACCCCCTTCTTCTCCAGCATTACCAGCTGTAATAGATGTGAGTAGGGCAAATGAGGCAGAGAAAATACGGCAACAAATAAATATGGTAATATGATTGCCTTATGGAGAAAACTTTTAAATTGCTTTCCAACAAGATGAACCTGTTTCTGTTAGGTGATACACAAAGCTGATGCAGATGGGAGAGACTGTGTGAGTTACAAAGCATACTGCCCTCATGAGGTCGACACCCCACTGGTTGGAATTTGCGTTCACAATTGTCCTATTTCAGTTTAAAATCAGATAGCATAAAAAGAAATTGTCAAGTCAATTGCTCCATGTCCAGCTTGAGATACATAAAAGGAGTCCAGTATTCAACAGCAGCAATAATCTAAACCTTGAAAATCCAGCCACCTTGAAAGTTTTTCCTGTTGTGTTGGCAAGAACGACTAATCACTAAGCACAAAACAGTTTTGAAGGACCATTAGCTGCACTCATATTACTAGGTGGTCAATAAACAAGCAAATTCACTAAAATGTGTTTCACACTGTTGAATGCAGTTTGAATATATTCACTTCTCAGATTTATTTGTTCGATTCAGAAAGAAGATGAGTATTAAAGAACTACATAAGGAATAAAATTATGTAAATATGTTCAAAAGTTAAGGATAAAAATTTTGTGTTGGAGCATGTACAGCTGGTAAAGGTCTGGGAGCGACTGAGGGAGCTGGGGTCATTTAGTCTGCAGAAAAGGAAGGATGCTCTTACAAATTGTCCACTGAGTTATTAGTTTACTGGAATACCAATAATGACATGTACAAAATAACCCCTCATAGTTCTTTTCACCTTTTTTTAACAAGAGTCCTACATTTGGATGAAGGATTAGGGAACTCCAGGAACTTAAGTTAAGCTCTCAGAACTTTTTCTTTTTCTTTTTCTTTTTCTTTTTCTTTTTCTTTTTCTTTTTCTTTTTCTTTTTCTTTTTCTTTTTCTTTTTCTTTTTCTTTTTTTTTCTTTTTCTTTTTCTTTTTCTTTTTCTTTTTCTTTTTCTTTTTCTTTTTCTTTTTTCTTTTTCTTTTTCTTTTTCTTTTATTTTCTCTTTCTTTCTCTTTCTCTTTCTCTTTCTCTTTCTCTTTCTCTTTCTCTTTCTCTTTCTCTTTCTCTTTCTCTTTCTCTTTCTCTTTCTCTTTCTCTTTCTCTTTCTCTTTCTCTTTCTCTTCCTCTTCCTCTTCCTCTTCCTCTTCCTTTTCCTTTTCCTTTTCCTTTTCTTTCTTTTTTCTTTTTTTTTTTTATTTATTTATTTTATTTTCTTCTAGATGATCAATTATACAAAGAATGCTAACATCAGTTATGAGGCACAGGATAGATCTGAATAATGAAAAAAAATAACAGTACATTAAAATAACAATACAATAAGAACATTCCTGTTAGACTGAATTCAGGGCTGTTAATTAATACCTAATTATACATAATCATTTCTTGGGGAAAAAGAAGAAACCCTCAAATGAGGTTTATAGAGGAAACATTTCAAAGGCAGACGCTACAGTCATTAAATGAAGAGCCAAAGCTATTTTTCAGTCAGATTCAAGTCACTTGTTCTCTTCATAACTGAATACATGGTTAGATATGTTTATAGGTTTAACTCTGAAGCTCTGAAGGCTGGTCCATGGTTCTGTCAGTACAGTCTGGCTCTATCAAGCCAAGCTAGGCTAACAACTCATCCAATTGCTCTATTGGTGTTTTATGCTCTGAATTATTTAAAACATAAAAATTTTTACCTTGAGCTTCAGATTAATCACCAACACTATTAACAGAAGACAGTGTGACTTTGAGGACCAGTGCAGCCAGAACTACTTTGCCTGGTTGCATAGTGATAGCCAATTTGTTTCTGGGAAACCTATTTCTGCAGTGTTTTAAACAGATCACTCTCTTCATATTTCTGGTTAATGCTTGCCTCCCAGGGCTTGACCTAAATGCATTATTTCAAGAAGTTTTATAAAAAAATGCTTTTGTCTCTAGTCATCGCTATTGACTTCTTGTTAATTGGGATTGTACTTCATTGGTAAACAGAAGGCGCTGTTGTATTCATTCTGTTGATTTGTACCTGTCTGCTGTGGGTTAATGGCACGATTAATAAACATTTCACACTGAATTTCCACTATCAGAAGAGCAATATTATTCAATGACTGACTTTTACCTTAGGCTTTAGTTCAACTCATTCCTGTTTGGCTTATCTAGAAAGGAGAATATTAACCTTAAAAACCACAAGTAATTATATTTCAGCAATGTGTAGTATTATAGTGATATTTATTCAGCTCTTCATTCCCTTAGTAACTTCCTGCACCATAACTTGGCATCTTTTTTTTAAGCTTACATCTGACATTTGCCTACCTCTGAGTATTCAAAAAATGCTCCAAATGGTACTAATTTCAGATGGTTAGACATTTCAAGCTAAAAATTCCAACTGGCTACATAAGCTTTCAGTAGCCTAATGTCATTAGTTTCCAGCTTCCTCTGACCCTTCTGTTTTTGTTATACGTTTCATGACCAAATTCAGCGCAGGAATACAGCCTGCGCTTAGTATTAGCAATACTGAATTGAGATTTCAGCAACCTTTGACCTAACATTGTACTGACTGTTGCTTATTACATTTTCAGGCTTCTTTCACCTTAGACTAGCGTTTGCTAGTCCCTTTAAAATGAGTCTGTCCTTCGTAACTGAATCCCAACATAACTAAATTTCCCAGGAAATTTTTAAGCAAACTGGGAGGAAAAAAATTCTTTGAATGTTGCCACAGTCTTGATTCTGAACTTCACAACTGCAGCCATCTTAAAGTGAAGAAAGAGAAGCCATAGCAATTAGAAATATTAATTTCTGTTAGAAAATGTGGATTTTATCTTGAAAACATTTAAGGAAAGAAGAGAAGTGGGTTTACATGTTTGCGTGCTTTTCCCCATTAAGCGAGAAATATCTGATTTTGATAAGATATTTAGATACAATTAACAAGATCATTCTGCATAAATCCTCAAGATATGTGTAATTATAATAAAATGAAAATTCTCTGTTTTCAGTACAATTCCTATATGTGGGACTTGCCCATGTAGTGGAGACGTCATGGTTACACCGAAAGACAGGAAAGAAAAAAGAGGGTTATTTCATGTCATACACTTCAGCTGAATATTAAGCACTACAGATTCCCATTGTGAAAGGGGAAAAGAGTGCATATCAGGCAGAAGAATACGTTCATGAGCAGTATACTCTTGGTTGGATATGAACATTGACCTGTTGAAGCCGTCCAGAGGAGGGCCACCAAGATGATTAAAGGGATGAAGCACCTCTTTTACATAGAAAGGCTGAGGGAACTGGGATTGTTCAGCCTGGAAAAGAGAAGGCTTTGGACTGACCTAACTGTGGCCTTCCAGTACCTGAAGGGAGCCTACAAGAAAGGTGAAGACAGACTATTTAGCATGTAGTAACAGGACAAGGGGAACAGCATAAACTGGAAGAGCATAGGTTTAGATTAGATATTAAGAAGAAATTCTTTACTTTGAGGGTGATGGAAAAGGTTGCCCAGAGAAGCTGTAGATACCCATCCATGGAAGTGTTCAAGGCAAGTTGGATGGGCTTCTGAGCAACCTGGTATAGTGGAAAGTGTTCCTGGCCATGGCAGGGTGAGGTTGGAACTAGATGAGCTTCAAGGTCCCTTCCAACCCAAGCCATTCTGTGAATCTGTGATTCTATGATTTCGTAATTCTGTGATTCCATGACTCTACATTAGCTATTCCTGTCTTCCCCATGCAAGAAAACAAGATCAAAATAAGCTAAACAAGCTCTTCCATCCTAAGTGGCTTTTTTACCCATAAATGTAGAAAATAAACAAATAAAATATGGTACTCAAGGTAATACTCCTCATCTAGTTGTAATACTCGTGTAAGTCTTCTCCCAGCTCTGTTTTACCTGATGGCAGTCCTCTCACTTTTAGCAGGGTGGCACTCTCAACAAGCTTCCTACTTGCTCTGTGCTCTTCTAACCATGGTTTTTTCATTGCTGGTGGTTTTATGTCCTTCTAATTTAGAATCAGTAGTCACCCCCACCCAGCAATCTCAAGGACATATGAGCACCTTCTAATTTCAAAATCTAATCAGCTGTTTCCACCCACCTTTAAAGTCTCACACAGACAATTACAGTGGACAATGGCCAGGAAACGCTAAACTGCATTAAAACACAGAGAAAGACAGAAGCTAAAATCTGCCTGATGCACTACCCCCAACCAATATATTAATTATATTGGCACAGTATGGAAATCTTCAGCAAAACACCCTCAGTATGACCTTTCTAATAAGAGATCAATAACAGTAAAGTGGGAAAAAAAGAAATGTGTGTGTCCTTTTTGAACTTGAGGGAGTGCAAGTTGAGTACAATCCATATTCTGTTACACTTCACATTCTCACTCCCTATACTTCTGCCTGGCTGCCTGAATAAACTCTCAGTTTCATGGCCAGTGTAAAATACAAGGTTAAGGAGAAATGACCATTTGGCCTTCATTTTATTGTAGATTGTTCCTAAAATGTTTGCCTTTGTACTGTTGTTTGCTTTTGGTTAAGAGCTGAGCTCTTGTGGTTCACCCAGATGTGCCCTGGAGTCTTCTGTCCTTCCAACTTATCACCTGACAGCAATGATTGTATAGTGTAATTAAAAGTCAATGCTAGCTTTTGGGATATATGCAATAATAAAAGAACCATCTGAAATTAGGACTTAAATAATAAAGGGTTCAGGGACATGTAGGCTGGTATTTGTTATGCATTTTAATAGAGGAAGTTTGCAGCTAATTGGAGGCTAACTAAACCCTTTGGACACATTTCAAGTCACATAAGTCCTTTTTTTTCTCCCCAAGGAATCTGATAGGCCATGCAGCTTAGTACTGCCTTTTTCTATCTTAATTACCACATTGAATTGTGCTAATGTAGGTTTACTTTAGAGGCATGTGTTATGATTATAATCCAGGCAAGAGTTTCTACTACCGTCTTCACAATCTAGTTTAAACACCTCTCCATCTGCAAATAGTAGAAGAAGAAAAAAATTAAAGACCAATTTGCTTCTCAAACTAATGCCTTGTAACTCATGTACATGTATCTAGAGAAAGTAGGTCACCTGAGTTACTCTGACCCACCCCAGCAGCTTGTAAACAATGTCGTTGTTATTCTGTATTTAAGATATTACTAAATCTGATTTTATATAATATTATATTTTCATTGGGCTGCAAGAATGGTCCTTGCCACTCTTTATAGCGGCTCTGAAGAGACTCATCAGATTTAAATATGTTAAGCCTGTGAATGGAAATCTGTATTATTCAATGGGGATAACAGGGAAAAAAATGTCGTGACAACCCCATTTATTTGCTGCTTGTGGAATTTTGCAGTTTTGCTCAGTGAACCCAGTAAGCTGACCTTCATAATTCAGGCTGCAGTTAGGGAGAAGCAGAAGCACTTTAAAAGAAAAGTGAAATACAGACCTGTTGTGTTTTGTAAATGTCAGCAGAAAATGCTGAATAATACTAAAATCACAAACAGCAACAAATCTCTCATACTTTACCATACTTTACATGCTTTGGACATGTATGCACAACTTTTTTAAGGAATTAGCAAAATGGTTGAGTTTAAAAAAAAATATCTTGGAGGTTTTTTGAGGTTAACATTTAAAAATTTGATCCAAAATGTTATAATTACCTCATCTCCAGTTTTCCATGAAGCAAAGTGGTTTGTGTGAGTATACACAGGCAGAATTCCAAGTCTGTAGTTACTTCTCTATTTTATAGAGATATTGAGGCATTTTTGGCCAAGAAATCTACCAGCAGCAAACGTACAAATCTCAGCAAACTTTGGTCTTTTTCTCCCTTTCCTACCTCCAAAAATTAAATGATTTTTGGTACATATGCGCCAAGGATTTTCATTCATAGCTACCTAAGCTGTACTTCAGGATAAGGAAAAGGCCTGTCTTCTTCTACTCTCTTGAGTTGCCTATTTATTGCTGTAGCAGTCTTTTGACCTCCCAGCATCACTGTGCACTGTTGTGCAATGCTGAAAGAGTTTGGATAACCCACACGTCTTGTATTGCAAGACATATTTGATACACTTATGTTATTTTCAATTTCTGCAAGATCAGGAAACAAAAAAAGGCATTAACTTGTTTCTCAAGAGGCTTACATATCCTTGGCCTTCTAGGTGAAAAGTCTGAGGAGATCCCTGCCCCAAGTTTCTGTGTGTTAAACCCTCTGATTTTTATCATCCTTCTCCTTGAGGAAGGAGGGCTGCTTTTTCTGTGCAGTAGTTTGCTGAGGCTTGGCACAAAAAAGATGATGGATACCCTATTCACATCTTGGTCAATGTGCAGAGAATATTATTGAATAAAATTAAGTGTTCTGACTAGTGTATGACAGAGCATGTAATCAGGAGCAGGAAATAGCACTGGACTTGGAAAAGGATAGGACATGAAAACGCACTGAGTGTATAACTAAGAGTTGACCTCAGATCTTCTTCATTGTTGCTGCAACAGCCTGCCTTACTGTTAAGGAGACATGATTTTTGGAAAGTGAAAGTGAACAATTTTTCCTTGTCATCCCTTTCCTCGTTCTTCATCCTCTCTCCCTGTTCTTTCCTCTTTGCTTATCAATGCCACAGACAGTTCTCCTGTCAAAACCCACTCTTTCATTTCACAGTCTCACAGTCGAGCACTGAATATTTCCAATGCAGAGGTACTCCTTCTGTTATTGCTTTTTGAAAATACTTTTTCCAGGAAGAAACTAGTTTGCCCAAATGTAAAAAAGGAGAAAAATTTACTGGAGAAATAATAGTAAAACAAATGTGCTGGTGATATTTGGAAAAATACTGGCATCCACTTTTGGCTGAATTCAAACAATTACAGCTTTCAGTAAAACATGACAGTCTTAGTATTTAGTCTGAGATCAACCACTTTTCATGCTTATATCTGACGCATTCTACATTTTATAGAGATCATTAGCTGCCTTCAACAGTTCTGTAGAGGGACAAAATACATTTTGTCACATATTTTGTTTCAATTACATATAAGGGTATAGGTCTTGTTTTGCTCTTCTTTAATTTAAATTGACATCAATTAGATATGAATTAAATTTCTCCTTGATCAATTCTTTTTCTACTTTATTGGACTTTCTTATCTTTACAAAAATTTTTCCCGAATATGATTTCTTGTGTTCTGTGCAACAGAAAGATTTTTTTTCTGCTTCTTAGTTTTTGAGTTAATTTACATATTCTTTGACAAGTTAAACCATCTCACACAGGTCTGCTCATGTGCAGTAGTTTCCAACATTCTTATCCTTCATTATGCTTACCCTCTGTGCCTTTCCTTCATAAATTGATAGATCTAAGCCTGACAGAGTTCAAAAAGCATTTCAGTGATACCGTTGGGCACATGGTATGACTCTTGGAGATGGTCCTTGTCCTAGTTAGGACAACTGAGACCAGTTCATCATGGTATGGGTGTAACCCAAAACTGTGTATTCTATAGCCTTCCATGCCATTTCCCAGAAACTGTTGTGCATAGACTATTCACACCCTCTGCCCATAGAGCCTGACTCCTCAGGCTATAAACTAGGTGTTAAGAGGCCTGTGAGATAGGAGGATGCTCTTGTCCTCACACCCTTTGTGAAACTCCCCGCCCTGAGGGAAGCACTGAACATTTCTGCCTGAACTGGAGGGTATATAATCTTGGAGTCTTGGAACATTTTTAACCACTCTGTGGGATCCAGAGAAAGACTGCAACAGCTCTTCCCCCAGCATCTCACTGCAATCATCACTTTTGACCAGACTGCAACAGCTCTCCCACCAGCAGGTTCTTCCCCTCTCCCTTTACTTTGGACTCAAGCGGGACCCAAGGAACACCACTTTGTTCATGCCCCAGGGTACTGGGTTATACATTTGGGTTTTGTGGGTTAAGACCAATTGTTTGTTTGATTGATTGTACTTACTGTATTATTTTAGTAAATTGTTCTTCTGACTTATAATCTCTCCTTTGAGTTGAGTTCATTTCCCCTGCTGGTTAACTCTTAAACCAGCACAGTCCTGTGCAGGGTTAAGGGTTAGACTTGACGATCCTTGTGGATCCCTTCCAACTCAGCATGTTATGTGATTCTGTGCTTCCTCCATTTGCATTGCCTCCTCTGTTCCATTTTTCCCTTGACTGGACAAACACAATCTGCCTAGGTTTTTCTTTTTATTTCATAATACTATTTTGATTTTAACACTGACTTGTAAAATATAGCTATAGAACATTTTGTATTTAGTTCTCCTTTTCATCTCTGACTCTATAAATTAGAGTTTTTTCCCAAGTACTGTCAATTTAGTTGTTCTTTTGCTGATTAAACACAATTCCATTTTCCTGGCTTCATCTCTGTTCTCCCTCTGAAGACTTTTTCATACAATTCCCATATTTTCTAACATTTCAGTATCTATTAACCTGTGCCTCTTGACTGGCAGCTGAAACTTCAGTTTAAATCCTGAAATATAACTGAAGGGTCACAAAAAACAAAGATAATGAAGATGGTAGATATGACACCATACTATGAATATGCCTTAGTGGTGCATAGAGGTCATCCTGGCAATTTATCTTTACTTTGAGTTCTTTTAACTAATTAGTTACCTTTTCCACTGAGTACTCACAGTCCTTTGGTATTCATAAGTTTTTTTCTTTTGTTGTAGAATGGAAAAAGGGTGCTTTTCTTCTTTTTTTTTTCCTACTTGGGAAACCCTCTTTAAATATAATTTCTTTAGTTTGAGGCAAGTTCAAGTGGTAGTGAAAATACTGGTTTTGTACCATTACATATTTATGAAGTTATTTCAAAAAAGTGTTTGTTGATAAGCAAAAACTCCACATTTTAACTCTAAAGTATACCTACATTACAAAGGTCTTACTGAAAGTTATATGTCTTAGTGAGAGTCTACATGTATAACCTTTTGAGTAACTCCCTGAATAAAAAAATTTGGAATGATATTTTCCTGCATCACAGCCATCCCCACAGGTGCTTTATGTACTTCTGTTTTCTGTGCTCGGGGGTCACTTCAATTTTCCTAACACAATTTGCACATTTAGGCCTCATTTAGAATGTTATATCTCTAACTGGTATTAACAGAAATCTTTAAACAATCTTTTCTGGATTCATTTTCTTCTATAAAATTATTAAAAAAAGTTGAAGGCCAGTTTCTGTATCCTAGGAGGTGGGCAAAAAAGTATCAGAATGTAACTCACACTCTCTATCTCTTCACTGTTCTCCCTTTTTGTGAAGCAACTGACTCTGTTCCAGTCACCTTGAACAGAAAAAGCAGAAGAACAGGATTATAGTATCTCATGATCTTTGCCCATTTTCTGCCTCCTACTTAATCTCTGAGAACTGGGTAAACAGTCTTTGCTTTTCCTCTTTGTTGGTACATAGGCTGAGCAATGGCAAAGACAACCTAATTCTTGATGGAGTTCTTAGCGGTTTTTGAAATATCATTGCTGCTTGATCTGATGTTATCTTTTCATAATGGCTATGCAAAATGCTGGATGCTGTTTTAAAAGCAAATTAAATTGAATGATAGTAAGCAAGCAGAAGACTATTCAGTAAAATATGTTCTACTGCTTCCCTGTATTTCAGAGAAGGATCAAAAGTTCCAAACATCACACATATTTCCTTGCAGAATATTCTGAGGCACAGTGGTATGGCACTTTGGAATCAGAAGATAGATATAGCAATACTTATCAAACCAATACAATTCAATCTCAAGCTGACATGCAGAGCTTTATGTGAAGACACAACATGTTCATGGAATTGGTCAGATACAACCTTATGTACAAAAAGCAAGATCTGAAAAAAATCCCCAATTCCATGCTTGATCAGAAACAAGTGACAAAAGAAAGACAAAGAAAGAAGCCAAGACAGATAGAATATGTGTTGAAATGAAAAATAAATCAGACTAGTTCTATCCAGCAACTCAGCACGGTGGCATTTTTCTATGACATGAACTGAATGGTAAGATTCCTGGATACGAGTAATGGTCACAACATGGGAATACTGTTTTTGCAGAGAAGAGAAAAAACAAGTATACAGAGAAAATTAAAGGATAATATCAAGAGCATAGGGGGACCAACTGTTGGAATAAGGCTCAGTGGCACAGCGTGGCTAGAAAAGATTCTAGAAACAGAAACATAACCTCCCCTTTTTAACCACTACCAGAGCTTTCTTCTCCTTTCAGCCTGTGTGTGAAGCATCCTGTATGCTGTATATGAACCTGTGGCAATGAAGTTGATACTGTGTATGGTACCACTCAATATGGTACTACATAGTGTGATTCTTGGGTTGATCCTGTGCAGGGACAGGAGTTAGACTTCAATGATCCTTGTGGATCCCTTCAGGATATCCTACGATTCTACAACACTCCTTCTTTTGGTGAGTATAGCAGGATATGAATAAGAGATGAGGGGCAAAATAGCACCATTCAAAGCTTCAACAAGTCAAAGCTCTAGAAGCAGCAGCTATGTGGAAGACTGTCCTTGAGAACCAAGTGGCTATGACCTCACCTACTCTCCAGCTCAGCTGGAAAACTTTTGAGAGGGTACACAGTTATTTCTGCTCTGCAAGTATGTTGTCAAAGTAACCACTGCAATATAGACAATAGGGCAGGGCAAGCAGACTTTACAGCTTTGCACAATTTAGTTCAAGGATCATGTATAGTGTACATAAAAAAAAAAAGTGAGGATTAAGTACAGTGAAATTCATCACCATGAATATTAACCCACTCTCTTGAAGTAACATTTTGTTGATGAGTCCCTAGCCAGTGATATTAAACAGTATACTAGCACTTGGGGGAAGTAGTATGATAGTCTATGATACAATATTATATTTAGGTGATTATTTAATTAGTGTAATGCAGTGTTATTCCTCAGCCAGACAACCAGAACCAAGATATAATTGTGAATTCCCAATGATATTTCAATAAATACTCTTTTAAATGAGCAGTGAGTTATAAGAGAGCCTAAGACTACTTTTGTCAAGATCATTCATTGCAGTTTGGAAGAATACCTCAAATTTATAGACATACAACTAAACCTGGAGTAAGATTTTGAAAGCAATCTTTGCTCAATCCTGCTACTATTTGGACATGGGCATACTTATTTTTCTATGCATTATTAAAAAAAAAATTGTCATCTGTGTCATTTTGGGGTTGAGAAATGATATGCAACGGATGTCCTGAAAATGACATGGACTAGCAATTTGTTAAATAGATATAGAGAGCTGCCAAGTTTGGAAAATTTGGATCTAGATCCTCTGGCAGAATATTCACAAAAATGAGATAACATATACAATTTTTCACTCTCTAAACTGCTACCCTGAATATAAATTAGTGAAAATTACTGCAGTATCCTATTTATTAATGACTGTCAATTAAATCCATTGGATCAAGATGAGAACCTGCCTTCCTTTATGTTTTGTATATTATTAGTACTTTTATCATACACATGCCCATCTACTACAGGGTGGGCAGGGAGGAGAGTATTAGAATTATTTACTAATAATTAGTATTTGTAATAATAGAAATATTTCTGCATTAGACCTTAAGATGTTTTTGTGCTTGAAAAACAGATATTACTTCAATTACACAGAAAAGGAAATTGATAAAATCCTAAAGTTAAGTGGTTAAAATTGAGTCCATATTATAAGGGAATATAAAAGAGGTGGTTTTTTTCCTTGAGAAAGACCATTGCCAAACGATGACATATGCATCGATGCACTGAAAGCTGTTAAAAGAGAACATAGAAAAGACAAATAAATTGGTAAATCCATCAGGCATTCATGACAAAAAAAAAATCCCATGTATCTGCAGAAGGATTTACTTATTTTCCTTTCTGGCCTCGACTCACAGCTAAATAGCTGAGGTTTTAAAAGGAGCAACAACTTTCTACTGCTACAGTTGTTTATGAAAAAGATTTCACTAGCATGAAGCAAAATCAATTTATAAAAAATAATCATTCATATGTCATTTCTCCTTTATTTTCTGTATGAGCAGAAGTGTCAGGAAAGGAGGAGAATTTTTCAATATGTCATATTTTTTTTTCTTACTGAGGTGGCTCTGTTCTACATCTTTGGGATGTAGCCTAATTTTTGATTGTGTGTATCAGTCTTTGCATTTTGACTATTAGCCAAACTACTGAGTTTGACTACAAACACTAACATAGCCCAAACATTAGATGACATTTCAAAGTAGCATCACCAATAATCAAATAAAGGACAAAATCTGAATAAGAAGTTCTCTACCCAGGGGTTCAGTTTGATTAATTCACTCCCGTATCCCTCCTCTGGGGTCAAACTGTAGCTGTTAAACAGTATTTTGAACACATTTTCTTTCTGAAAGCTCAATCATTAAAGTATTTAGATACTGTTTTATATTACAATAAATAAGGTCAGAATGATAATTTTAAGCTTTTGAGGGAATTTTTTAAGCTTTTGTGGTTGCCCGCAGCAGTTGCATCTGCACACCATCACATTTTTTTCATGCATGATCAGATCTGTATGCAAACCTGCCTCTTCAAACACCTTTATATCAGCATTTTTTATTCTTAAACATCTACATGGAATCATATATGCAGAATCTGTGCATATGTTTATGTTGAACATAGTAAAGAATTACAAGGATCAAAGAAAAGCGGAGAATTGGTTTGGTGACCAAGACTCAACTCATCCTTGCTCCACATTGTATAAGTACCCCAGGGCACACAACAGCAATGATTACACCTGCCTAGACACATAACACTTGTTATTTACCAGGCAGTTTGATCTAGAAGTTCTCCACTAGTGTTGGTATTGACCTGATCTCTCTACTTCTGCTCCTGAGCAGAAGGAAGGGAGAGTTACAAATGTGGTTTTTAAACATTTGAAGAAGAAAGATCTTAATATATTGTACTTTTGAACAGACAGTGAATTATCACAAAGTGTGTTTGAAGTCCATTACTTTTATATACACTTTTGTTTTCAACACTGATGTGAGTGTATTTTAATTGTTTAACAGAACACAGACTCTCAGGTGAAATGCTACCAAATAAAGAAAAATATTGAACAAAATATAGCAGATCTGAACTCTTTAAAATGGATTTCAAACAATCCTTGCTGATGCTTATGAGAGTCCTAAAATAGTCTTGCTATCAGATTTTATTTCCCATTGTCATGTATGATGAGAAAGCAATAAAATGAAATTTTTCCCTCAAAGATATAATGACATTTGTAGTCTGTCATTTGGTACTGCCTCCAAAAACCAAGGACACATTTTACAGTTCTCAGTTTTCTTAATTTATTACTTATAATGTACAGAAGTTCACTTAATCTCCAAATGCAAGAAATTTCAATGCCTTATTTTTTTTATTTAATTTAAAAATCAAAACTTCCATGTGTGTGAGATGCTACACCTCAAGTCAGTGCATGAAGAAATAACCAGCACAGCAGAGTTATTATGGATGATGCACAAATAAATCTTCTAAAGCAGCCCTTATGAAGCATATAATGTAGCTCTCAGAGGGAGGTCCAACTGTCATTGATTTCTTCAGTTATCTTTGTGGGACATAGCACTAATCCAATTGCAAATTCAACTTTTCAGTTGTCAGGTTCCTTTCAAATGTGAGGGTAAACAGCAACAGAAGGGACAGCAAACAGTAATGAAGTATAAGCCAGATTTACTTAGTGAAGACCCCTGAAGATAAACAAATACACACTGGTCTGCCACTCCAAGATCAGAAGGAGCTATTTGCATAGTGTTTCACAAAATTGAAAGCAGTCTTAGCTTGTTTCCCAAAACAATACAAACTTAGCAGATTTACATTGGGGACATACTAGAGTCAGTGCGGAACCGTGACTGTAACTTATTTTACTTCCTTCAAACCTTCCCATGTAACTGAAGGAGGGGAAGGAAGGCAAGTGGGAGTTCATAGGCTCTGAGGTAGAATCATGTATTCCTCATTAAAAATCTATTCTGCTCAGAGAGATGGTCCAAAGTAACATCAGCTCATTTTTTATAGTTTTTTGGGGAGACTGTTCATGCTGACATTAAAACACTTTTTCCCAGTATGGGAAGAGAGGTAATACTGAATACCTGAATCAGGCTAGTCTTGAGACTCTTAGATCAGTTAGGTTATGACAGTTGGACAAGTCTTAAATAAGGTGAAACCCCATTGCCCCATCATCTCTTCCTTATTTCCCTCAAATTTATGAATAAAGTACCTACTAGTTTCTGTGTCTTCCAGCTTGGAACCAACTATAAAACTTTATCTGCTCCTTCACTAGCAAAATATGTGGATTTTTATAATGAGATAGGACATCCAAACTAAGTCCTTTTGTGAAAATATAGTAAAAATTCTTAGTTTCACCACAGGCAACTACAACTCTAAGACTGCTCAGTTGCAATTATTTCTCAGATTTGCAATACTCTGTTAAATCAAGGAAGCTAATAACATATCACTTTTGCTTCAGTAGAGATAAAGTCTTTTTAGTCTATGATTTTGTTAAGCAGAAAGTATCAAGCCTACTATGAAGTCTCTCTGTATTGGCCCAAGACCAGGGAGCTCAACATTACTAACACAGAGGAAGGTGGCTCTGAGAGGACAGGCACTGCTGAGACCCTCTGCCCTCCCTGTCTGACATGTCTGTCATGTCTGCCATCACGTGAGAGCTCCTGAAACCAGGTTTGCAGCTAATCAATTCAATGTTTTCTGACTGCCACTTGCCCTTGAGTTTTCTTTAGGACAGCAGAATTGCACAGTGAAAATGCGATGGGTTTCTCTGGTTTCTTTTTTTTTTCTGTCTATTTTATGAGCTTGTACACACATTTTTGGATTTTTGCATATCATTTCAATTCCACAGGATGTGCTTTGCATATGTACTGAAATATATTTAATTTTGCCACAGATATAGATGTATGGTTAAATAAGTTCATCAGGATCTTGGGAATTCAGACAGTACTTGTGTTAATACTGGCAGCAATGCTGCATACTTAAAGGTTACTGTTTGCAGTTTTTAGCAGATCCATTTTTAAGTAGATTCTTTCCCACTCTTTTAAGGTCTGTTCGTAATTAATAGACAGAAAGTTATTCAACAGAGCTAGTTCTGCACTTCCAGAACACCAGTATAGTCAGAAACAGAGATCGAGCAACTTCCACTGTCTCTCGAGCTCTTCTTTATCTTCTGGCTATCTAATACATCAAATCAAATTGTGCAGACTTAGAAAGGAAGGGATAATTTATAGAAAAGATAACTATGTTCTTTTTCTGTATGGCCTCTCTAGTGGGGCCTGTTTCTACAGGCAATAAAAACAGGCAGTAGCATATGCATATAGATTCCCGCCCCCCATGACTGTTATCATATTTCAAGTGTTTAAAAGGGCTTTTTTTCCGCCTAGCATCTTTTTTGATGCTCACTAAAAACAAGAC